GGTCTCGATCTTCTGACCGCGTGATCCGCCCGTCTCGGCCTCCCAAAGTGCTGGGATTACAGGCTTGAGCCACCGCGCCCGGCCGCCCAGCTAATTTTTTGTATTTAGTAGAGATGGGGTTTTACCATGTTGGTCAGGCTGGTCTCAAACTCCTGACTTCAGGTGATCCACCCACCTCAGCCTCCCAAAGTGCTGGGATTGCAGGTGTGAGCAACCAGCCGAGAGTGATCTCTTAAATATGACTGGTGGAATAGTCCTGAAGTAGTATCATTGAGTCCAACAAAAAAATGAACTATGGGCCCAGATACTTTGAAAGTAACAAAAATGGAGAAGGAAAAAAATAAAAGCTCACAGGCCATATGTCAAAGACAAAATAGAAAAGGCTTTATGCTAAAAAGTAAAAGTAACAAAGACCTTAATTGCAACAATAAATGTACTGTGTAAAAATTTAAACTCAAACTACATAAAACTCAAAAGACATCCAAAATGAGAACTCCAAAACCGAAAGTAAAATGATTTTTCAAAAATACCAGGCAAACAAAAAATATTCAAGAGTGTAGTGAATTAAAATTATAATGCATTAAAAGCACAAATACATTAGAGGAAACTAAATGATTATAACTCAATGAAATATAACTATCATTAAATGTACAACATACTTGAAACATTTTTAGCAAAATTCTCAGAAAACAAGAAATGAAGTCAACAATGATACAATAGAAATGGGATATTAGGTAACTTACTTAGACTTTGACAGATAAAGTCGAAAAATAGTATAATGGATATAAATAATATGCTTAGCCTAATAAATAGAACTAGATAAAATGTAGTTTCTATTCAAGCACCTATGGGAATGTTTATGAAAGTGATTTATTAGGCTACCAAATAGAAAATCCTTGATAAATGGTAAACAATAGTGGAAACCACATTTATTACTAGAATGCAAAACCAGAAATTAAAACCACATAGAAAAAACAATTTAACCTACTTTAAAATTCAAATGTTTGCTACTAAAAAAAATAAAAATAAAAAAAGAGAATCAAAAGTACAACTGCAAAGTATCTAAAAACAGTAAAAACATTGTACGTCAAAATCTAAAGAGCACAGCTGAAGCTCCTGATAGGCAATGGAAAAGCCTTACATATAATTAAACAAGAATGAGATGCATTAACTATTCAACTCAGGAAATAAAAAAAGCAACAAATATACTGGGAGGTTTGTAGGTGAAAAACACAAATTAATGAATTACTCACTGTAAACAGTTACAGAGCTAGGACAGGGAGAGACGTTCAGGATGGCATGCCGCATTTAATTAAGATTTCCGAGGTGGAACAGTTTTGATGATAGAGATCCAAGGTGTGACGTGACTTCAAGTAGCTTAAATGGTAAGTCATGAACACTGGAATATACAAAGCCAAGAAATATAACCGTTAAACTCTAAAGTACTGAATAGATGCCTCTGATATAAAGGTGGGATTCAGGATTAAGACACAGAGCCAGTGCCACTGTGACGGAGGGACCCGAACGTCGTAGTGGACGGTTAGACGAATATAATCAGGTGGCACCAGTTCTACGGTTTTACGGCCGCAAGGAACTTGAACAGCTGCTAATTATGGGAAAAGGGTATTGTCTGTGAAGAGAGTTATTTCTAATCAAACAGGTTGTAGGTGGGACAGCTGCTTAAGGTAAGAACCACGTGGCGAGATTAGCTCAGATAAAGAGGAACAGAAAACAGTTTGCAAATAAGTGACTGAATATAAGTCACTTACAGTAAATGGAGAAATAACTATATTAAAATAAGTACGATACTTGGAGGTTTTAATGTTTTAGGGAGGTGGCCAGGAATGACTGGGAAAACAAGGCAATATGGAATTAAAACTCCATTGTCTTTCCCAGTTGATTGATTCAGTCACACTTGGTTTTTCCATAAGGCATCAATACCAGCCATTCCTAAACCAGCTGATCATAACATACTAACCACTTTGAGCGTCTGGAGACTGCCCCTATTACAGAATGGAAGAGGAGACAGGAGTGTGGTTAAATCCTTGCTTTAGCGGAGCTGGATCCTGACCCTAGCCGTCCCGCGGCCCACCCCTAGCCCTCTGTCGCTGCTCTCACGCTAGTCTTACTTCCGCAGCCCACGTTTCCATCCCTCCAGTCAGCTCGCGCCCTCCTCCGGTTCTCAGGCACAGACCTTGGAGGGCAGCGTGGAAATTGGGTAACTGCAAGCAAGCTGAGGGGAGCTGCACGTTCCGCATGGACGCCCTCAAGCGTGATTCCCAATCCCAAGCCCCCGCGTGCCCACTGCCCACTGCCCACCAACGAGGGTGATACCTGTGAGCCACCGCTCCTCTTCAGGGGCCGGTTCAGTCACTCCCAAGCGCCAGTTCTGAGAGGAGCCGCGGAATCGCTGTCTTGGACAGTGAAGGGAGCTGGTGTTGGTAATCACGCTGCAACTAGGAACCCCTGACCTCGCGAACCCTCAACTCACAGTCCGCTCTGAGTTTCATATATTGCGACGGTACAACCTCGGCGCACTCTTGCGCACGCGCACCAGCTGTGGAAGGAACCCCCAGTAGGCCCCGCGACCTGGGTGGGTAAGGTAGATCTGGTCTTTTCAAACCCAGCCCCTTTCTGCAGGCCCCGCCCACGCCTCACTCTTGGAACTCTGGCTCTTTGAATGGACTCACAAGGCGCTTCTGGTGGCTTAAAGAAATGAGCGTCATACTTCCGGCGCTTCCTCATCTCGTCTGGGAAAACGAGTCCAAATCGCCTTTCTTTTCCCCACACCCCATTTGTCTGGAATCAAAAACAATGATAATTTCAACAAGATATTGTCTGTGTCTTACATGGTCTTTATTGGTTTATTAGTTCACAGATTCATTCATTCAGTTTTGTATGGAAGTAAGTTCGTTGTTCTGTTTTGGCTTGTTAAGAATGAGGTACTTTGTGGCATCCGAGAAGCATTGTCAGTTAGGTATTTGGATGTAAGCATCTGGGAGTTTAGAGATGTCTGGGGCTAGACCTGTAAAATTTGTGTCAATCTGGGTAGATAGTGATTGATGCTATTCATTGGAATAGGATTGCAGAGGGAGAGACAGAGAGGAAGAGAGAAAATAGAATAGAAGGAAATGGGCTGGGATTGGCCCGGGAAACACTAACACCATTGGTTGAGTCAGGAAGGCGGACCTGCAAAAAAAAAAAAAAAAAAAAGGAGAGGAGGATCAGCCTGAGAGGTAGGAGGAGATCTGGTGGGTGCGGAGACACAGAGGAAAGGGATGTGTGTGTCACAAAGTACAGAATGCTTGGTGACATTAAGTACATGATAATATGATTAGTGCTTGCACAGAGGCATGTAAACAGTGATGTAGGAGCAGAGTGAAAGAACTTAAACCAGAAAGAGCTTTATATTTAGGCCAGGAGTTGACTAAGGTAAAACAAGATGGCAACTTCGAATAGCTAGTGACACAAAAAAAACAAGGACACACCATATAGTTTCTTTTATTTATTTGTTTTTAAATAGACTTTATTTTTTAGAGCAGTTTTGGATTTACAGTTTTGGAAACATTGAGAAGGTAATATAGAGAGTTACCTTTTACTCCACAACTAGTTTTCCCTGTTATTATCCTCTTACATTATTATGGTATATTTGTTACAACTAAGAAAATAAAAATAAAATATAAAAATAAAAAAATGAAATAACATTGATACGTTATTAAGTCCACAATACTTTATTCAGATTTCTTCTTTTCTTTTTTCTTTCCTTTTATTTTTTCTTTCCTTTTCTTTTTTCCTTCCTTCCTTCTTCCTTTCTTTCTATTTCTTTTCTTTTCTTTTCTTTCTTTCTCTTCCTTGCTTGCTTCTTTTCTTTCTTCTTTTTTTTGACTGGTTCTCACTCTGTCACCCAGGCTGCCAAGCTGGAGTGCAGTGGTGTGACAGCTCACTGCAGCCTGGAGCTCATGTGATCCTCCCATCTCAGCCTCCCAAGTAGCTGGAACTACAGGTGCTTGTCACCATGCCTGGCTAATTTTTTTTTTTTTTTTTTTTTTTTTTTTGTATTTTTTGTAGAGATAGATTTTTGCCATGTTGTCCAGGTTGGTAAAGACCAGATTTCTTTAGTTGGTTTATTTGTTTTGTTTTTATCTTTTTTCTTTTCTCTGATGCAGGATCCCAACTGGAATATCACATTACATTTAGTTGTCATGTCTCTTTAGGCTCTTCTTGACTGTGACGGTTTCTCATACTTTCTTTGTGTTTGATAACCTTGGCAGTGTTGAGGAGTACTGGTCAAGCGTTTTGTATGATCTCCCTCTATTCGGAGTTTTCTGATGTTTTTCCTGTGGTTAGACTGGAGATGAAGGTCACAGAGATAGAGTACCATTTTTATTACATCACATCACAGGTACATACTATCAACATGACTTATCCTTGTTGTTGTTCAATTTGATCACCTGGCTCAGGTTGTTTTTGTCAGAAGACATATTTTTTTCTTTCCAACAGTGGCAATGGATGCAGCAATATTCAGTTTCCAGAATCAGCAGCTCTGGAAGCAGTGTCTTGTCCTGATGGTGTTGGCAGGTAAATCATGCCTCTAGTGCTAAATGGAAGTCTTGTCTTCATAGGATGAATTCTGTGGTACAATTTTGGTCTGTGGTTCTGGCCATATGGCTCAAATATTATTTCAATATTTTTACTTTTAACTTAAATCATGCTTAGTTTCTGTTACTTGAAACTAAAAACCCTGACTGATGTGTCATCTTTGTGATGATTTCTTGGTGTATGTATTAAGTACGTTTTCATTAGAAATTTTTAGAGTCTTTATTTTCCCCTTCCCTCCCTAGCATGGGAAGTAGTGGTTTCATGCAGACAGCTTTATGAAGAAGCCCCATTGGCATCTATTTTGGTGGAATGAGTGGGAACATAATTCTCAATGTGTCAGTAATCCATTGCTGCATACAGACCATTTCAAAATTTAGTGCTTTAAAACAGCAATCATTTTATTTTACTCAGGAGTGTGTTTGAAATGTGGTCAGAGGGGAATGGCAGTTATCATTAATGTTAATATTTAAGATATGACCATGGGAATGAGTAACTGAAATCATTAAAGAAGCAAGGATTAAGGAATCTCAGAATGCAAACTATTTGAATATTTCATTCTATGGGAAAATTAAAATAACCAAGAACTATAACATAGGAGCAGTATCTTTGGGACAGTGGCAGTGAATCAGGGGCTAGAATCTGCAAGGAATGGGTGGGGGAGTAGCCTAAGCATCTAAAATAAAATAAAATGAATAAAACCCCCACAATCCCACTTTCCTAACCACACCTCATTTCCTCCTTCTTCCTCATGGTAAAACATCTCCAAATGTCTGTTTACATTTTCTTATTTTTCCTCTATTCACTGAAATAGATCTCATCTAGATCATAACTAGCAGCCAAAGTTACCAAATTCAACTAAAAATTTCCTATCCTTCTCTATATCACCTCAACTAACACATATCATTTGAATGAAGGTTTTCAGTGATTATCATACCCCAGATTAAAGTTTGCCTATTGTAGTACAGTTCCAGTAAATTTTTAAAAGATAGTAAAAAATGTGTATTAAAATACATTATGTCTCAGTCATTACTCTGGGTACATCAAATACACTCAGAATTGGATAAGATAAAATGAAATAAAAGATCAATAGCTGGTTTTAAAATGTATGTATGTATGTATGAATTAAAGAAGAAAGAAATAAGTACAGCTATGGGATAGCTCTTCACTGGAGGGGACTTCTACACAGTCAATCTGAGGTCTGTGGTTTCTGGACCCCACGTGCATGATGGCTGTAGAATAGTTACCATAGAAAACCACCTCTAAACATGTGAATGTTAAAAGTTTAAGTGAAAGAACGAAGTGGCTACCAGCCAGTTTATTTGTATTACGGGTTTATGAGGAACTGAAGTAGACTCTGGAATTGACTATTTTAGAGAAGTTGGGCCACAGTGTGACATGGTATGCAGGCATTGAAGCCTATGGAGGGGTCACCCTAGAATTGGTAAACTCCAATTTCTAAAATTCTAATTTCTCTTTTGTTTTTTAAAGAAATACTCATTAGGTAAATTGGGCTCATTCAAAAGGGGATGACCAAGATGAATACAGGGTACCAAAGCATATTAGATAAAGAAATTGTAAAGAAACTAATGGCAGTTGGCAGAGACAATTGAATTTGGGCAAATACAGAAATTGACCTAGTGTGTTCTGGTACAGAAGAATAACGAGAATTGCTCTAAGACTAAAACTAGAGAAACTAGGTTGAAGACACAGGAAAATTGATTTTGACTTATCATGAGGAAGATCTCTGTAATACTAAAAACTACCTTTATATGAAAGAGAGTGGCCCAATGGAGTAAGGAGCTGTATCATTCCTGGTTAGGCAAATGCTGAACAATTATTCGATAGAGATATTATGGAATAATTTAAGTCTCAGATTATCTTACTATTGAATTCCCTTTTTACTCTGATAGTCTATGCTTACACGAAATTTGAGGTGATTATATAAAATTTTGGGGGATTTTCAGGAGAGAACATGAAGAACTAGGAAGTATTATTTTCTCTGATACCTTTTCACAAGCTGAAATGCTCTAGGATCTAATGAACCCAGTATTAAAGATTCTTACAGATACTTTAATTGTTTTAATCAGAGCCTATTCTAAGGTTTGTATGCCGAAGACATACAAACTTGAGATGTCTTTGATGTTAGAATTATGCTTGCAATTTGTATTAGCTGTTATTTCAGAATAATCTGGTTGAAACCTCCTAGATTCAATTGTGACTGTGCTTGAAACATGCCCATGGCAGCTGAATTAACTCCAAACTCCTCACAGTAGCACCCAACACCTTTTACAATCAGGAAATGACCTAACTTTTCATGCTTTTATTTTTTTCCTATGTTCTTGTTTAGATTGTAGTATTCAGTTTTTAGAACATGTTCATTTTCACACTTCTTCCTGAAATAACCTAATTCATAATTGCCTACTAAAATCTTGCTCCTTTTTAAAGGATGTTACCATAGCTCTAAAAGTCAGACTCAGAGGTTACTGCCTATGAGAGAAGGACTTTCTCTCAGCTAGTTTCCTGAGAGCCCCTTTGACATCTTTGTTCCTCAGGCTATAAATTATGGGGTTCAACATTGGAGTCACCACTGTATAGAACACAGATACCATTTTATCCCGTTCTTTTGCAATCTTGGAGTTTGGTCGCATGTAGGTGAATATTCCTGACCCACGGAAGAGGACAACAACAATAAGATGGGAGCCACAGGTGGAAAAAGCCTTCAGCCTTCCTTCCCCAGACTGCATCTGGATAACAGTGGAGATAATATTCCAATGAGAAACAAGAATCAGGGAGACAGGGGCCAGGAGAATTACCACGCCCATTAAAAGATGGCCATTGCTGTGTTGTAAGTGTCTGCGGAAGCCAGCTTCAGGAGGGCAGGAGGTTCGCAAAAGTAGTGATTGATTATATTCTGTCCCCAGTAGGGAAGATGGAAAGTAAAGCTGGTATCTACTAAAGACACTAGTGCCCCACTGGCCCAGGACCCGAAGGACAGCCAGGGACACACCCGTTGGGTCATCATAGTGGAGTAGCGCAAGGGCTTGCAGACAGCCACATACCGGTCATAGGACATCACGGCCAGCAGCGCACACTCTGTACACCCAACCAGAAGAAAGACAATTATCTGTGTCATACACCCATAAAAAGAAATGGTTTTCCTCTTTACCAGGAAGTGAACCAACACTTGAGGGACAATGCTAGTAGAGAAACAGAGATCTGCAAAGGA